GTGTGTGTATGTATGTATGTATGTATAAGGGTGATTCATACAAGATATATATATATATATATATATGACATATATATGTGTGTATGTATGTATGTATGTATAAGGGTGATTCATACAAGATACGGTTATACACACAGAATGTGGGTCAAGTCATCCATGGCATCATGACACAGACACATACGTTGTGATCCTTCTTTTCACACGCGTGCTCCATGACTTCGATGAAGCGAGTCTCGCTAGTGCTGTAGAGTAGTCCACGCTCCTCGTGCCACGACGTGTCACCGCCCGTCCATCCCTTATCAGCGGTCAACCGCATGCCCTGCAACGGTAATCCAGTCATACGTGGTGAGATTGTGGTATGATGTTCTGCGTGTGAGTATGCTATTTCGAATCTGTGCTGTGATATCGCGAACGTATAATACGGAATGATATTGTACCTGTTGTGAAAGGAGAAGGCGAGAATCACGACAAGACTCTTGGATGCAACTTGTGTGATCAATAGCTGAAAGATAGTCGGGCGAAGAAGTATGCGACAAGAGGTGCGGTGAGGGTGCACAGTGTGGAATCAGTTATGGTGAGGTTTGTAATCTACCCGCACACATGTATATGTACAGTGAACTGAAGTGATATCGTTGACAAGCGCCAAAGGAGCTAAGTTGCCCAGAAAGTGAAGCAAGTGACCAAGGAATGATCTTTTGCCATGTAGTATATCACCACTATGCTCGTACTTAAAATGGACTGGTACGACACTTTTACTGTCATCCGCATGAAGTTTAGGAGCGTATAGCAAAAATGGTCTGGAAGGTAGCTACGACTGAACTACAGCCAAGATCCACCTGAAGTCTTTATGAAGGTTCATCTCGGTTAAGTCATATACGACACCCAAATCTTGTACACGACATAATGGATACAGTTGAGCAGACGAGCAGAGATATCAAGGATCATATTCGAATGTACTATACACAATACACAAATTGAAACTGAGCATGCGCCCTCCATAGCAACACAGCTTCGATTCTCGAGGTGTGTGGATGAAATCGAACAAGCTCACAATTTGTGTATAAAATACCATGTATGGTGTGCACGGTCCGTGCGATCAGACGCCCCCAACATACGCAGCTAGTACCCTATGTGTCACCGCACCTCTACCCAATTGAAAGCTCAATAAAATCTCGAACTAACTTCTCGGCACGCATTAGACACCTTTCTTATTATCTTTTAGCCCCTACACTACTATAAGAACTCTTTGGTACAAATTGATTCTTTAACCCCCATCTACTATTATGAGCACGCTTTGAGACACCCAACAAACCTTGGTCAACCCCTCCACGCCCTTCGTGCAGGACTTGCACTTGTCCACAGGGTTTGCGGCTGACACCTTCCATATGCTGGTGGTCACCACCATACACAGCACAGCCAAAAGAACACCGCGAGAAAACATCGCCAAGTTGCTACCGAACCATCCACGCAACTCCCGCACGTTAATATGTACTAGTACAGAGAGTATGAAAGCTGCGACGTATATATATATACACTGTGTACAGTTTGTTTACACGGTTTTTTTTGCACGACGCGATAGTGACGACACTATTTTTTTGTTTTGTTTTGTTTTTTGTTATTTTTATCAGTTGGCTATGGTTACACACATCACACGCTACACTAACATGGTAGCAGCACAATGCGCATGGTTTCTAAATACAAATATGTTGCACTACGAAAATTGCTTACCAATCTACATATCTGCATCTTGTCGATCTACCCACCAAGCCCTTCAATTCAAATTCATTCGCCAACATGGCCCTGTCTTTGTATAGAGCTTCGAGGTTGATGTTTAAACCCGTACGCACACCCTCAGCAGAATCACTCACTAGTGTACTGCAGACTCGATACGTGAGTGGCATCTGCATAGCCAAAGCACCGAGTTCCATTTCACAGGCACACACTGGACATCGTTTGTTGTTTCCTGTTGTTGACGCCGTTTTTTTCACCCAGGTGCGAAAT